TGTGTAGGTAATTAAATAAACTTATAACAGAACCTAACGATGACAACATTAAAGAGATACCTAACAATTTTGAACAAACAAAAAACACTATAGTAACACTAATCAATAATAATTATTGTAATAAAATACAATAAAATATATCTATTATGCCTGTTCCGCTAATCGCGTATTTATTTTCAATATAATATTTTTAATTTAATGGCTATTTAAGTACGAATAATTGTATATTAATTTATTATTAATAACAATACAATGTAATACGTGTACCTACAACAACTAATCATACTCGTGCGTATACTAGATATTAGGTACCTATATACTATGTGTGCTGTAGGTTGGGGTTGCATAATCTTTTATATTATTCTGCAGAATCTATATGATACTATTAATAAATAATATTATGTATTATTCAGATTACAGGTCGATTATTTTAACAGTGAATACTTGTTGTATCGCAAAGTATTTGAGTTTTTGAAAATATATTTTTTTATTTAATTTTAAAGTCATTACAAAACAAAACAGGTATTTTTTTACAATTTTTATCGTTTGTGTTCAAAAAATAATATTAATAATTAGTATATTTTTTTTAACGATTACAATATTATTATCATAGAAACTTGAAACATTAAAAACATTCAAATTCAATACATCCATTGGATACAGTGACCTTGGCCTACTCAACGAGGAGGAACTCTCAACACTGACGACACTATACAGCACTGCGACATCCATATTTTTAAAGTTTTTTTTTCTTTTGCCAATGACACTATTATAAGTACAGTTCATTCCGAGCCAAAGTATTTTTATTCGAAATTCAATGAATAAAAGTTTTAATTCTCGTATAATACTCCAGTGCCCCTCCACTCTGCAAAACTCTAATCCACTACTTTGTAGTTCGTACTTATATCTAATTACCTAACTAATTGTTCAAAGTTCATCTTTTTATGCATCGAAAATCGAAATACTTGAAAAAAATTCCATTTAGGATTAAAAATGTTTAGGTACTGTTGTTCAAAAAATTAAAATCTTAAAAATGAAACGATACGTTTGGTAAAAAGTTTAAAAACGAATTTTTTTTGTTCAAAAGTTTGGTTTTGTTATACAATATTATTAATACAAATTATGTAAAAAAAATTCATATACGTTAATACTTTTAAAATAATCAACCTCCTAATGACCTAATACATATAAGTACGTACCTACTGATGATCACCGAGGAATAAATAAAATCTTTTTCATTTTTTATTTTAATCATAGGAAGAATTTCTACTATAAGATTTATTTTATTAATGTGAATGTTTTCTGTCGAAATAATTGTTTTCTATTGTGCACTTAGTGCAAATGTGCAATACGCATTATAATTATAATTATATTAGGTACCTGCAACCTGCCTACCTATAAATACCAGGTGATCCATTTAAGTGTACACTCATTCACAACATAATTTAAATTAGGATTAAATATTTTTAAAAATATTATTTGATACCATTTTATAAGAATATTTTTGAAAAAAAATATATTTTTACTATTATTTTTTAACGTTACATTTTTTTTTCTCGAATGACACCATATTTTATTTCATATTCCGAAGCAAAATTTTATTCGGAGTATTTTAATAAAGATCAATTTTTGGACAAATAGTTTTAAGTAGCATTCAAAGTTTAGATTAGCGGAGTAGTGGAAAACATTTTTCGGGGCACCCCTGTTCTACTTTACTCCGTTCATCATAATTTGAAATGCTTATAACTAATGAACTACTTGTCCGAAAATTGATCTTTATAGATTGAAATACTCCGAATAATATTTTGCTTAGGAATTTGAATTTAAAATGTCGTTAAAAAAGTAAAAACTTTAATCACAATAAAAAATAGTAAAAATATAATAATCTCTTTTGGAAACGTTGTTTTGAAATAACATCAAACTATGTAAAATAAATATTTTCGAATATATGAGTGTAGACACTTAAATGAATCACTCTGTATATTTTATATTGTTATCTATAGGCAGCTCAAAGCCTAAAACAATTTAAACTCTAAGTTATGTTCTTAGCATTGGAGATTATGTAAACATTAAACTGTATACAATAAGTAATACGTATTAATAATTAATATCCGTAATTATAATGACATATTATATAATATGTGTCATATTATGAATTATTGCGATTAACCAATAATATTGTAATGGTTATTAGTCAGCAGTTTAACACGGTTTTTAGTTTATTTACAACTGTGTTGAGGATTGCTTCCACATCACGTTACACCACACCTATTACTTACAATTTACAATGTACCTACGTATACTAAATACCATTGTAATCAAATCTTGACCACGATCCCGATAGTTTAGAGTTAATGATTTCCTCTATGAATTCACAAAAGACGTAAATGCATATTTATAGTAATATGCAATATTAGGTATCTTACCTAATACCTATATTATACCTATATTTTATTTCCGACTACGATGTAGGTACGTGTTCTTGACAGTTGACGGACAACGAGGATCCCGACAAACGAACCACACTATGGTTAGGCAAGAAAGAAAAGTAAACCCGAAAAAAATGATAATTTAAAAACTTGTCAGTTGTCAATCGGTAAAAATAATAATATTACACACCAACCCGTTTGTAAAATATTAAGTCTTCTTTGTGCCTACGGTTCGGGTGAAGTATATTATAATAATCATCGACGAAGGATCTGCGGGTTATTATGGAAGACGAAGGTTTCCCATTGAAATGTGCACAAAAGACAGTGCGAAACCTTTGATCGACCCTCGATATAATTTTTGACACATTTCTGAGACACGACATATACCAGCTATTTTATACATCGCATATAGGTGAACCACTGGCACAGTATGTTTAGAAAGTGTAAAGATTTTTAAATCATTATTCTTTTCAAAACATTTCTAGTAAATACGATTTTACATTTTGCATTTTGCATTTTACGATTTTTTTTCAGTATAAAGATAACATAAAATAACAAAAATAAAAATACAAATACAAAAATATTAAATAAAAATATTTTAAAATGTCTATTATACTTTTTGAGTCTTTGGGAATTTGAGATCCTGCTTTGTTCACCACAAAAGAATTGCACACTATGCCACTACATACATAATAAATTATAATATGTATTACATTTAAATATTATGTACAACATTTTATTCTTTTGTCGTCACTTTATATATTATTATTTTTTAAACTCACACTTTTCGTTCAATGCTGGTTTCCAAACGTATACCTACCTATAGAATATAATATTATAATATTTTGTGCGCATTCGTATTCATCGAGTACAATGACGTTATTTATAATTATTATCAAACACATATATTATAATAGAATATATACTTTATAAGTCATCTTACGCGACATACAATAATATAACGAGTTCTTATTTGATATTATATATTGACAACATTTTTCGTTTTGAGTACTCGCGTTAATAGAATACTATATAATATGCTGCGTTGTGCCATTTATACGCAAGCGTTTTCATAAATATATGGTGAGCTCATTTTGAGTTCTCTATTTTTTTTCCAATTCGTTTTTCGATCTCTATTTCGTACGTCAAGTACCTATTTTTGTTGAATAATATACGACGCTCATCACTTCATATCGATATTTAAACTTTCGATAAATATTATAATATTACGGCATAATATAGTAAACGAATGATTATACTTCAAGAGGTAGTGACCTCCTACACACCTTACACATACTAATAGGTACTCACTTTGAACATTGAAATCTTATTAACAATAGTTTAATCAGTTAAATTACTGTCGAAATGTGCGTATTATACGTGAGTATACGTATTTATATAATATTATTTGTTAGTTTAATTAGCACATTTATCTCGTAGCACTATTAAAACTTATAGTAAAATCAAACTTCGAATCCACGAGGTATAATGTAATATTATATTATAAATTATTATGTTTTGTATGCGTTATATAAATTTAATCATTATTTTCTGTTTCTTTTAAAAAATATATATATTTTATTTTTTAAATGAGTTTTAGATAATAGGAACCAGCGTTTTGAGAAAAGTCTAAAACACAGTAAAATATGATCTCCTAGGCTAGGGCATGTAATAATATGATTGTGTATAAATGTATAATCATCGATGTTACTATACAAAATTTGTTTAAGACCATACATAATATAATATAATATGTATCCTACGATTAGTATTCTTAGTTCTTGCATTATATTAATTTAATCTTCAAGTATATACTGCATAAATAAATTGCAGTATATATGGTGTAAAACTAAAAACACCAATATGATTGTTTGTAAACAACAGTTCATTTTTATTGAGTACAATATTATTAATGAAATAATAATTAACCTTGATGGTCCAAAACTAAACGGTTCAGATATAAAAAATAGAAAGAAAATGTCAACCCATTTTGGTCAATGACCTTAGAATTAAATATTTATTAATGCTTTTTTAATTTTTATTTATAAAATTCTCTAAAGTAGTTTGTTATTACATTATATATTGTCTACGACACAAACTATAAAGATGACGAGTCGCAATAAGTTCAACATTATTATAAAGAAATATTATTTTTTATACACTCAATTATATTATAATATTATTATGTAATTGTGTATGATAACATTAAATATGCGATGTGCCACTATATGTTTTTTGTTGTTGTATCATATTATTATTGTTAAGCAGTTGACTTTTGGCATTCAAAATAAAAATGTTGAATCCAACGTTCCAAGGACTAATGTATATAGACCTAGAGGTACAAATCTAGTAAACATATATTAAAAAAGTGAATTTTCGAATAATGTTTAGTGATTGTTTGTACAATCTCGTTTCTGGTACCTATATGTTCGTCCAGTTGTCACCGGCACATTATGCTACGAAACTGCGGTATTAAAAATGTACTAGATTTTGCTATCCTGTTTATAGATTTTGCTATTTCCCCCCAAACTTGAAGGACTTTTAAACTTTTAATGAAATGTGACTATTTACTTGATTGTAGTAGATGAGAGCTTTTTCATAGTTCCCTTTGCGGTACTCACAGTTGCCCATCGTTTTCAAATAGTCTGAACGTTTTATTTCCTTTTTCTTAGCTTCGGACCTCTGTTTTGCGTCTCTTTCTACGTGTGCCATAAATCCGGCTTTAAACAGACGTAAATATTATATACAAAAACAAATCACATACAACTTAATATTATATAATATTATAATAAAGACGACGAATTAAAATTGTTTATACAGTTAATTGTAGTGCCCTCATAAAACTTTTCCACTTGGTTCCAAAATATAAAATTAGGAAAACCTTTTTTTAACTGTCCCATCTGTCATTGCAAATGAATTGTGTTTTTTTTTTATAATTATGTTAGTAAAAAAAAGAATGTGTAGTATTTTTATACTTTTTATATTTTTAACCATTTATAAATAAAAAAAATTCGAAAAAGTAAAACTCATAAGACTATATTCTATATGAGCATCTCTTTGAAATGCGAATTTTTGGAAATTCTTTCTTGGTGCACCATACATGGGGCATTGGCGTAATTACGGGGAGGGGGGATTTGGGTGTCGTATTGACCCTCATGACCGTTCTTTTTTTTTTATCTTCAAACACATTTATGTACTAATTTTATTAATGTAAATCTTATAGATAATACAAAAATCACCCGAATCTCAAAATTCAAATATATTCAATATTTTTCATAATATACTTTCTGTAGTAAGATTTAATTAAAGTATGATGCTTTACTTTTTTGCTCCACAAAAACGATTAAATGGTATTGCTATGTTTGATGTTCATAAAAATGTCAAAATCGACCCGAAGAAGAAGAAGTGCTTAATGAATTAGCATTAAGACCACGTAGAGTGGATCTTTTATTGTGATTTGAGATGTAACTGTATCTAGTATCTAGGACCTAAGTATCAATAAAGTTAATGTACCTACCTACCTAAATGTGAATATCTAAATATTATATTTATTTTAATGTATAGTTTATATAATATTACATACAGATCATAACGGTTGTATTCTTGTATTGAGAGGTGCTTATTGCTTATATGGTTTAAAAAAAAAAATTTTGAGGGAGGGGGGTTAATTGGTGAAATGTACATACATTTCATCCCCCTACCCCCACAATCATAACCAAATTACGCCACTGACATGGTGGTACGAAGGAGCCATGAAAATGTCAAGTTTCCTGCTATCATAGTTTAGGATTCACATCTATTCGTCTGCCAGTCAGTCAAAAAAGCAGTTTTATAGTTTTTCACGAATTTTCTTAATTTCCAGGAACCTTGTTCAATTTTTCTTTCCAAAAAAACCTTATTCTGAGTAATAAGACTAATACGAACATTAAAAAAAGAGCCAAATCGGTTCTCAAGTGATGTGCGATCACCAATGAACAGTATATATTTTTAATTTATATAAATTAGGTATTAGTTTAACGATTACAATTATTAACAGTAGGTAAATTAGGTATTTACCTAAATCATGTAAATCTATAATACTAATTATATCAATACAATGTTTAGGAGTAATGATTGTACGATTTTATTTAAATTAAAATAATATAATACATTATGCGATATTATTATAAGTAACAAAAATTATGTTTATAAAAATATTTTGAAATGGTTAATTTAGGGTTTTCTTTAGTTTGATCGTCGTTCGATGTTCTGTAGATAATGATTATTAAAAATAAAAACAAATTGGATCCAGTTTACAAGCAAGTATAGTACATTGCATACATATAAGTTATAAAATCAAGGCTCAATTATAAATTATAATACATCGAATGTTCACTTGGAAAAATGGCTTTGCATATTTATTATTTGCACAATTTTAGCATCTCTAAAAATCTCTAAAAAAATATAAATACTATATTGCTGTGCCAATGTATACGCAAATAGTTAGTTATTTTTTATCATTACTTTTGTAGGCCCTGCTTATAGTTTATATTTTATTTATTTTTACATATGACTCATAAAAAATATATACTGCATATAGATGGGTGGGTAGATGCGTGTGCTCTCCAAAAACCTTTATGCTCCATCACTGTATGGGCACCTACGCAATGTTTATACAATAGTAAGTAAAACATAGCGTGTATACACTACATACTGAATACCGCGGTATACGGTTGGTAGTCTGCAGGTAGATACTTAGAAAAGGGATCGTCGGACACAATGAATTCGTCAACCGCAGACAAAATATATATTTAAAAAAATCGTCTATATATATACTAAATATAACTATATGTACTGCAGTATATGTAAAAAGGTTTTTCCTGTATACTTTATTGTCCGTTTATATGCATTTTTTTATCAATCAGAAAATGGCTCACTGCTACTACTTTCCAACGGCGACAAGACATCGAAATCACCAGAATCAGAATCGGACACACCTTCCGCAAACACTCTTACTTAATTAGTAAAGACTAAAGAGCCTCAACCAATATTCGATGCATGTCACAAAGCACTAACTATCAAAAACATCTAGTGGAGGAGTTGTACTCAAGTTATATACTTCAACACGCATACAGACCCTGAACGTGCCACCAACATAGCAGAAGCGCTCGTCGCTCAATGAAGACCAAACAACGAAAATAATGAGATATTTAAGAATCATTAATAGCATAAAACATTTTTGATTTAAAAATATGTAATTGAAAAAAAAAACCATATAATATAAAATAACAACTGTAGAATATTTTAATTTGTAAACCTACTACAATGTAAAACTTACTTACTAAGTAGGTATTTAAAAAAGATAATAATGTATTAATGCGTATAGTTCAATGGCAGGCAATAACCTATGCTCTAAATAAAAAAAAAAAATAATAATGTATAGACTATAGGTATTAAGACATTATATTGGTATTACGATTTATGATAATACTATCGCATCACAGTGCAGTGTGCATAATATAATATATAAAGATAGAGAACGACACCGGTTCTTACCTTATTCGATCTGCGACGAAACCCCGGAAGTTCGTGATATTGCATTTTCCATTCAACTGACCACGACGACCGTATAGGTTAGCTTAGCTACATATGCCTATGTATAGTGCATGTACACAATATATATATATGTAGGCACCTAACTTGAGCTATCTATATGTATATGATATATTGTAAGGCACGCGTAAAAGTCAGCGTATTTGTTGTGCGTACGAAATCATTTTGAGATTTACACGATACCTATATATAGGTACCTACAGTACCTACCTACTATATATATATATATTATATTATTATGTTATATATAAAAACGTTTTTTCCTGTATATTTTATTGCAGTCCGTTTATATGCATTTCTATCAATTCGTTTTGTATACACGCTATATACTCGATGCCGTTTCCGGGTTTCACGACTACGTTATATTTATATTAGTATATATAATATTATAATATATATATATTATATATCCACCCGCTGCACGTTCTTTGATATCGAATCGATTATTAACGATTGAAAAATCGATTTTTACGCGAATCGTAAAAAAACTATTATTTTTTAGTTAGATGATTTTTTCAGAAATGTTCGACTATCGGAAAATAATATGTATTCGTTTATATACATCTTATCTATATCAGTACCTATCTAAAATTGTGTGTAGCGTATACAACACACATATTATAATATTACCTATGTAGTATTATCTATACTATAAAAGCAAGTCCAGATTTTGTGTCACGGGTTGGCTCCGAAACGGCTTGACCAATTTGGCTGATTATTTTTTTGTTATGTTCGTAATTGTCAGGAAAAGGTTCTTATGAAAGAAAATTTTAGGAAAACCTACCGGAAATGTAGGAAACCTGGATGTCAAAAACACGAAAGTGGCGTCATCTGTACAGAAAAAAAATAAGCTAAATAATAACATATTTTTGTTTATTGTAAAGTGTAATTGCTATTGGTTATGATTGTTGTAGTTTAAGTTGTTAATTTTGAAGAATTGTATTTAAAAAAAAGAGGGAATCAAACCTTGGCCGCTCCACAAATGGTGTTAAGAGAAAAAATTGTCAATAAATATAATAGAAATTAATAAATTATAATTTTAATAAATCAGTTGATTTTTTCGATCTTATAAAAAAATTTCAATAATAAATTGATAAAATAGAACATAGGTACATACAAATAAAATATATAATTTGAATAAATCGGTTGATTTTTTCGATCTATAATAGATTCTATTCGATCCTATAAAAAATTGTCAATAATAAATTGTTAAAATATAATATTTAGTTCTAAATGTAATATCTATTAAGTGTGGCACACAGGTATCTAGAATTTTTTGAGCTTTCGTACGATACCAACTCATTTTGGTGGTAATGTCTTCCACCGGTTCAAACCTGTGAAGCCCGAAAGCGCAAATCGACCTTTTTTTTTCAATAACTCAAAAGAGCAAAATGAATTTGCGCTTTTGTACCTTGGTAGTGGGATAAAAGCACAAAAATAAATTGTATAACCTGATACAATATTTTACTGACTTAATGCTCGACGCTTTGCATGTATATAACCCGTTTCAAGACATATTGCAGCAACGCGTCGCGACGGTTGTTGCATTTGTCTGTGTCTTATCGTAACACATTACGATGGCAGTTTGATAATCATTGAAGATAACTATAATATACAATATAATAATATAATAGTATATATTTTATATTTATTTGAAAATCAAGTCAAGTGCTTTAAATCGTATGATGCCAGATATCGACCTATATCAGTTGGTGTCTGTGCCACAATCGTGTCAAGTGTGCGTATGTGTCTGGTTTTCGCTATAAAGTTAAAACTATAAGTCTTCGAAAATTGATTATTAAAATGTAATTTACATTAACTCAAACAAATCAAGGTGTATTGTGTTATTGTGTACAATAATTTTAAGTACAGACATCAGCGAGTAATGGCAAGCGGAGATATATCTTGGCTATGTATAGGTACGGTAAGGCAATGTACTTCTTCTATTCCAACTAATTCTAAAATATCCAAAATTTTGACGGAAAATGGAAATATATCTCATAGTTTTTTTTTTTTAATTTGCGCTTATGGGTTAATTATTTTTGGGCTTTTGGGTTGCGTTTGGGTCATATTTTGCGCTACAGCCGTTCAAACAGCACGGTGTCCTCGATCTACCGTGGGTAGATTGCCTACTTGATAATATACCTGTTGCGAATCTCACCGGATAACGCCTGTCGAGATGGCTTTACATTAAAATATAACATCATTTACACTTGAAAATATATTGCTTCCACAGTATATTATACCCAAAAGAAGTTGAACAATCAGATTTTTTTTCCGGGTAACGGAAAAGTTAAGATAAGTTTTTAACAGTTTAACACTACTCTGCATACAGTTTAATTGCTCTTCATAAAAAAAAAAAAAAAACGTTGTAATTTGCAAACAACTATCCACAGGGGCGGAGCAGCTAGTAGGTATATCTTATATATATAAAAATCCCGTGTATCGTCTTTGTCCGGGATAAACTCCGAAACTTTTGGACCGATCTTGATGAAATTTTTACAATGTGTGTAATTTGGCTGAACTTAAAAGATAGACTAGATAACCTAACCTAACCTTGAGAGGATCAACCCCGGGAGGTGCTAAAACGGGATATTTGAGATTTCAGATGGAAATATTTGTTTATAAATGGTTTCCATGAGTGACGTCGTATAAAACGATTCGTTCTAGAAATTTCAATACAGAATTATATAGTGAATCGTTTTAATTCGTTGCCAAGATAACAAACAAACCATTTATTATATACATCGACGATTTGTTATTGTACAAATACATATTCAATCAGTGTTATTATTATGCGTCTATAAGCGATGATGGGTTTTTTTCAGTTTTATAGCTATATAATGATAAAAAAAAATAAATATATTTGCTTTTACTTTTTAAATATAAATTATAATATAATAATATCTAACTATAAAAATGTGAAATGAAAATCTCTGCACAGGCTAAATTCTAGAACTACTTATCAGATATTCTTGATTTTTGTTTTAAACGAAAGTTTTTCACGGAGAAGGTTTATATGAAAGAAAATTTAAGGAAAATCAACTGGTTTATGATATATTGGTTGCTATTGGTTTATCATGTTTGTTGATTTGTGTTACCTGATATATTTTGTCAATATACATAATATATACAAGAAGATCTGATAAGTAGTTCCAGAGTTTAGTCTGTATAGTAATTATAGTCTGTGTATTTATATAGTTATGTATATAAATATATTTATAGATTAATATATCTATCTGTATATAAATTAATGTTTGTGGGTAGATAGACCGCTAGGTTAATTAAATAGGTTAATTTACAAAGTGTTAAATTTGTTTTTTTTATTCATCGGATTTTAGTACTGTTAGGTTAGGATAGGATTTTGTATAAATTGATTACATTAATCTACCGTAGGTGGAATTAAGTTAAAATGACAAACTTAGTATAACTTTGATACTTTAGAGTTAAATCATATATTTACGTAAAACAGCACCGGGTCCGCGATCTACAACAGGTAGATTGCCTACCTGATAATATACTTCTGTGAATCAGAATTTTTATTCAGGGCAACAGAAAAGTTAAGGTAAATTTTGATCAACGTACACCAAATACTGAACTGAACAAAGTTTGAGTCAAATACTCAAATAGAGTTGGTACATTTAACGGGCAACGAAGTGCACGGGATCAGCTAGTAAATGTATAATATGGAATTTAATTACGGCATTAAAAATTGCGTTTAATCTATGACCTCTCACCAGAATGAAAATTACGAAACTTTTGATTTTGGCTTAATTTGAATCTATTTTTTTATTTTTTTATATTTTGTAATTTTGTTTAATTTTACTTAACGAATGACGTAAATAATTTGTATTTCAATTAACAACGGCGAGAGGAGAGATTAATGTTTGACAATTTATTATCATCTTTTAGTAATATGCTAGTAATTACTATATTTACTGATGTTTGTAGGTTAATAATGCCATAATGGGTTGATTATATTGATTATATTTCAGTTAGAAATAAGGAAAGTTGGTTTGTAAGGTCGTTGTATTTTGGTTGTGTCATCTTGACTTCTTAAATAGCTTGTCAGATGTTTTTGGTTCTCGTGTAACATTAGCGTATGGGGCGGGGACTGAACATATTTTTCTGTAATGAGTATATTATTTATAATAAATTTTGTGTTGCTGGGATTATTAGGGGATTTTAAATATGATTTTCTCTGCTGTTAAAGATATTGATACATTGGTTAGCCGCGGTAGTTAAGTATGTATAAGGTCCTTCGCATAATGTAAAATTAGGTGATTGGATTGTTGGTTTTGTGCCATTTTCTGCAGTAAGGCGAGTGCCTTTGTAATGAACACATCGGGGAGAGTGGTTATGATAGCTTTTAGTGTGAACAAATGTTGACATCAGAGATACTGTATTAGGTGTTAATTTGTCTTTGACATTGATTCAAATTTAATTTTTAAATTACAGATTGAGTCTACACATAGAAAATATCGATATTAGCATATTACATATTTGCATATTATTTGATTTAGGTATGTATGGTAAAATGTTTGTTTGTGAGTAAAAAAAGCTTGAAAATGTATTATAAAAGAAGTTATTCTTTCCGTAATTATAAAACATCAAAAATACATATAGGCACCTATTCCCAATTTTTTCGTGACTTTACTCAAAAACGGGTACTCTCGACACCAACTATACCTACAGAAAATAGTGACTCCCTCGGTTTATTAAATTATTTACTACATATTTTAGAGGGATTTATAATTTACTGCATGTTATTTTTTATTTAAATTCCTTTGAAGCTCTACGGTTGGATTAATTACAACTAAATATTGACTCTCCTTTACACACATAATATCTTACTCTGTAATTATTTACAAAACACGTAGAATGTAGAATGATTGTAAAATGTGAAATTTCAAATATTTATTTTATTTAAATAGCGATGTAGAATAAACGTGAAAAACAAACCATGATAACGGATCACATAGCTCGTATACCATTAATATGCATTGTATAAATTTGTCAAGTATTTACACAAAATGTTCATTTAAAATATATACATATATATTCTACGTTGTTTACTGTAAATTAATATTATCTTATGGACAGATATTTAAGCATCGAATGTAAAAATAAATTAAACACCTGTTTACAAGATGATAATATTGAACGGTGTAATGTGAAATAATCCGATGTGTTGTCCCTTCACCTCAAGCCTACAAACCTTATTTTACTTATTTATTTTTCTGCTTTTTCCGTCTCTATCCACCACTTAAAATTAATTTTAAAAACACCGTACGAGTTTGTGTCTTCAGCATAGGAGTTGCTAGGTGTAAGGGGGATGGGGGAGACTTGAGTCTTCAAAAATAATCATTCTAACAAAAAAAAAAATGTCCTCTTTTAATTATAGAAACTGATGATATTAATGGTTAATACTGGATTGACTTCTATAATATTACACTATATACGCAAACCTTGAGTACAATAAAATTATAATATTTTTACGTCTTTCAAATAATATTATAATATTGTAGTAGGGTAAATAAAAATTAATTTTCATACCAGCATCTGAGGGTATTTCATCTTTGGGTTTGCCTAGGTCTTCGAAAGCCCTACGATTTATTGTCGTACCGTTTTGCACAGTTTTCAGTGAACTCTCGTCCCAAGTTTTTTCACCGTCGCCAAGCAACTCTTCTGCCCTAAGCATGCCTATTCTCGACTTGGCTTCATTCTGTGAACTCATATCCTTAATAATACCACCTGTAAGACACAATTATTAATATATTATATTATTGACTATTGTACTCACACATTCAATCGGTGATATAAACACTTATACATAAAAAAAGGCAATCAACTACCTACTGTGTGTGGCAAGGTTGAAGTTTTCGGTGAAAAAAATAAATCTTATATGGAGGTATTTATGACTAAAATACCGAATTTATTATCATGAATTCCGACTTCAACGTATTTTGAAAATTACAAGTATATATTTTCGTTTTTCTTAGATATTGCAGTAAACATAAAACAAATAAATCTTTAAAAAAAAATCTTATAAGTCTGAATTTGTTTACTGCCGCTATATAATATCTAGCCAACAATGCATAGAATTTCGTATTGCACTAATAATTAACCTATTATTACTAAAACAAAACGATTCGTGGCGTAAAAGTAATTCGTATATTAAAATAAAATTACGTTTTTAAATGATTAAAATACCTATATACTTATTCTCGTGATTTTAAAGGCCCTCTAACTTCTATAGGTATAGTACCCATCTGAGTCCTTTAGTAGTATATAGTAGCTTAATGGCCAGGCTGTAACTTAAATACATTTAGTATGAATTTCGCTATTCTGTTGAAGGAATTAACTATTAAGTTCAAACAACATATTTAATATAGTATTGCAAAATATAGAGCATTTACAGATTGGTAAAATATTTGACAAAATCTTTATGTAATAAAAGTTCATAAAAGTTGTAATCTCTATAGCAGTAGGTAGGTATATTATCTAAAAAAAGTATTGAAGTTGTTATTTTTCAGTGAATACCTACTTATATATTTGCACATAGCAAATTAATTAAAAAAATTTACAAATAACAGTTATACGTTAAAAATGAGGGTTGGGGAGCAGAGTGAGCTAAGTGCAAAGCCCTTATAGTTTTCAATATTTATATATTTAAATAACATTTTATTCTGTAAATAATGTGTGTAGCAATGTAGCATATTTTGCGTTAATTTTTAGTGCAGAAGTGAATACCATCCTTATGAGTATACTTTATGATTAGGGTTAGATTTTAAGGCAAAAGTCTTTTTTTAAATAATAATAATAGATAAATATACAAAAATATGTGTCATTTAATATGTAAGATGATGAACGTATTTTGTTTGGCCTTTTTACTTATAAATGCCTTTTTGCCTATTTCACTTATAAATGAATTTATTGTGTTTAATTTTCAATTGATTTGATAGTTTTATTCATAACATACGTATTAAAGGTACAATTTGATAAGATTTTCTGAAGACTGTGCACTGTCGTCTGTCAATAATTTTTAATGGGTTTTATTATCGGCGATATTTATCGATATCACTAAATACTTTATTGAGTATTTGGTATGGTCAGTTAGTTTAAAGTTTATAAAAGCACTTACCCATCTATAGATTAAAATATATTCATAATGCGTATAGATTAAAATTGCTCATCAGTCCGCCCCGATAACTTCCGTGGATGTAAAAAGATCATTTTATATGTACAAAAATATTTTAAGTCCAAACCGTCAATATTTTACCGAAGACAGTTTATCTAAGTACATGGTTGTGAATTTTTATAATACAAACTATTTAAATATACAACAAACAAACTATTTAATTTTTTGGTAAATTTTTTATGTTATTGCTTTTTCATATCAATTAAATGCTTTTTTTTTTGCTTTTTTTGGCATTTTAAATGCTTTTTTATTGACTGTATTGCCTTATTAAATCCGAACCCTAGTTATGATTAAACATTTTCTGCATACAGTATATACTTATCAAATACACAAATTTTGCCTATACCTACGCTGATAGAGTAACAGTGATATTATGTGGCTGCGACTGCAACAGTAGATACATATCGCGATTAGATGATACCATAGTTTGGAGACGATATCTACGACAAAGTTAAACGTGAACTTGGGTCTTAACGCCCTGAACTATATGTTCCGTTGTGGGGGTTGTTTCTTTAAGTGTTGCGAATTGTTGCAATCAATTCGCAAAAAGATGATACTAGTATAGTTCGGAGACGATACGACAATGTCGAGGTGCCGACTTCACGACGGTGTGTATAGGTATTATAATGCAGCGTGCACCTACCTATGAGATTGACTTTGCGCATAGATTCTTCAAACTCTCCGTCGTCGTCGCCCATGTGCAGGTTGGACATCACGAGATCGATACAATGTACAAATCTTACTCGGGTAGTTTCGTGTCTACATTATATAACAAATAATACATATTATATACGAATATGCTGTAATAATGTGCAGCGACACTATATAAATGCGCTCGCTGCAGGCTGCTTACACGTGATTTGTCTATATGCGACGGCGGTGGATTATGCCAAATGACGAGTGCACGACTATAATATTTGATAATAATATAATATTACACGCCACATCGTATAGGTACGCGTAATCGTTGTCATAATAATATTATTATGTGCATAGTTACAGACGACGATCCATCACGCACTGCTGCTGTTGCCATAGCAAAATCAATTATTGATAACGCGCGGCGGCCACTGTCGCGCTATAAATCACGTGCTTCGTTTAACAGTGATACTGCAGGAGAAACTCGGGAATTGAGAACGAAATTAAGTAGCATTATTTCTGGAAAAAAATTTTAAATAAAACATTTTATTCAGCGAAAATGTGAAAATAAAGTCCCAGCAAAATACAATTTTACCAAGATTTATTACCTAATATGTTTAATTAACAGGTTAAAGAAATTTGATTATATCCATATAGGACAAAAATGTTTGTTTTAATCGTAGAACATAGTACATTATTATTATTATTATGAATATATATACCTATGAAAGCTGTGTAGTGTGTATAGCCCGGTATAGGCCGTATTCATGGGAGTTATCGTTATACCTACTCGGATAGTAACCCAATAAACATTTTATTTTAAATATTAAATGTATCATTTAAATACATTAGTAGGTAGTTAAATATTTAACATTAATGCTTTAATTAGCATTTAATAAAAACTAACTATTAATATTAAGCAACAACAATTTTCAGTTCTTGTTTGTAAAAAATTCAAATTTCTTTATGGGTGTGTAAAGTGTAACAGTGTAATACAATAATATTATATAAGTTTATTTATTTATTTGAACGGTTTAATCGAACATACTCTATAATACTAGAGTCACTAATCAAAGAAATTGGCGAGGAAAAAAATGTTTTTTTCGGTAACCAAACTAAATATAATTTAAATATTAACGAGTACCTATATTAATATTAATCACTATAATTTGAAAAAATTGTTCAAACAACTATATTGATTATATTGATTTTATTATTGTCATAGGTAGGTACATCATGTATTTATGTATTATATTGTATAATTGTATTATTTAATTTTCACCAGCCGAGACAAATAAATAATATACTCTTACCAAAATACTACCGTACCAAATACCAATTATTGGGATCTTTGCTGATAAATGATAGCAGATCAATAGTATAGACATTTATTAAAATCAGTCAATTTTTAAATATTTAATTTTTTTTTTAGTGACTGAGACGAAGTGGAGTGTAGCGATTTTTAATCGAGGAAAACCTAATGCGACGAAAACGATTCTCATTTCCTGAAAAAGAAAAACAGTTCGAGGGGATTAAAGAGTAAAACGTGTGACTAATTTTACTTTTCTTTGAACAATAGCCAAACGCCACGGAAACAGTTGACGTCACCGATAGATGGCGAAAAGTGTAGTACCTACCTGCTTAGATTTTAGACATTTACATTAGGTTAGGCATCGCCTTTTACGTATGTAGTCGTTAGTGGAACTATTATTTCTAATTCGTCTAACAGGCAACAGCGTAATAATTATTACAAATTACCGGTGTCGACATAGTATAATATAATATTATGTTTAATTTATTTCAAATATTATAAATACCTATAATAAATACAATTTTATGTGTGTTACAGATTTCTATAGTAAGTGAATAATAATAATTATTGTAGGTAGGTACCAGTCTAAAGATTCATTATTATGTACAGATAATGCAATTCGTGGCGTGATTGTGTATGGTTAACATTGTACTTAATTATGTCTTAACGAATACCACAGTTTTTTTTTTTTTAATATTTACCTACATTTCACACGACGGTAAAACACTAAACGTCATTATCGCTTATCGTAGTTTTTATTATAATAATATATTAGTATGAACCCTCGCAGTAAACACAATTCTTAAATTGAACGTCACTCATTTTAGATTCTGAGTGGTGCTCAGTAGGTACCTATTTTTTTTATAATTATGTGTGTGTTTATTTTTTATTATTTTTATTGCGGTCTGAAATAAATAAGCATCGGTAACACAAGCCATTAGTTACTTAGTATACTTTTTACATTATAGTTAGGTATTTATGCAAATACCTATACTACGAACATTTTTTTTTTTTTAATTTTTTTTTTTATATGAAGACCCTTTTTATAATAAGAACTAAGAAAAAAATGATTCTATGTTCAACTTCAAATAAAAAATCTTGAAAATATAATACAAGGTTCCTCATAACATTTCCTTAGAAGAATTTTATGAAAAATCACTATCAATCTTCGTTAATTTGTATAAACTTGAATTAATTTACTATTACACTTCAATAACAGTTACCTGTAGATAGTACCTAATGTTACCTATATGAAATAATAATGGGGTGCGTAAAATATCCGAAAATATTTCATCAGAACCGTATAGCTGGTATTTTAGCAGGAAAATATTTCGTCCCAAAAAATATAATATAAGTAATAAGAAAAATATTTTGTCCTAACCGAATTTGAACCTAAAAAGAATACTTCCTGCTTCGACATTTACAACAAAAATGTATGTGAACATGAAGTATTAGTATTTTTTTTTTCATATTTATATAGTATTATGTGTGTTTACGTGCAGCAGCTCGTCGGTTTACGGTCAGTGTAATAAATGTCGGTATAATTATAATTAGGTACTTGAATTAATGAGAACATTACAATTTTTTGAAGTGCGCGTGAGTCATTATACTTACAAACCTGAGCTATGCCTTTTAAGAACACCGAGTGAAAGGCACACGGTACACGAATCAAGTCGTTATATATCACTCGTTATAGCATTTGCACAAAACAGGAGTGCAATAAAATAATAATAATTGTTGTAAGTCATAGCGACCGCAAGTGATATTAAAAATCGCGGATCTACGAATAATTAATAAAACATACCCTGTGGTTTGCCGAAACTGTACAGAATTACAATACAGTACGATTAACGCAACAAAAGTGAAATATATAACACAAAGCATATTATTATAGTGTTCTAGTTCTGAGTTCACAAAAGAATATTAATCTGGTTGTTTGAAATAGGTACTCGATCCGATATGACTTGTCAGACAAAACTCGGCATTATGGATGACCATGAAGTTAGCCCCCCCACTTTGACGGATTCACTTCAAACCAACGCCAATATTTAGCAAATTAATTGCAAATAATTGCAAATTGGTTTTTAGAATTTGCAAATTTAGTAAACGCTCGCAAACTAAAAAAATGATTTGGGGGGGCTAACTTCATGCAGCCCCCCCACTTTGTCCGATCCGTTCCAAACAAACGCCAATATTTAGCAAATTAATTGCAAATAATTGCAAATCGGTTTTTAGAATTTGCAAATCAAAATTGGAATTTTGACGAATTTTTTTGCAAATTTGGTCAGCCCCCCCACTTTGTCCGATCCGTTCCAAACAAACGCCAATATTTAGCAAATTAATTGCAAATAATTGCAAATCGGTTTTTAGAATTTGCAAATCAAAATTGGAATTTTGGCGAATTTTTTTGCAAATTTGGTCAACCCCCCCACTTTGTCCGATCCGTTCCAAACAAACGCCAATATTTAGCAAATTAATTGCAAATAATTGCAAATTGGTTTTTAGAATTTGCAAATCAAAATTGGAATTTTGGCGAATTTTTTTGCAAATTTGGTCAGCCCCCCCCCCACTTTGTCCGATCCGTTCCAAAAAAACGCCAATATTTAGCAAATTAATTGCAAATAATTGCAAATCGGTTTTTAGAATTTGCAAATCAAAATTGGAAATTTGACGAATTTTTTTGCAAATTTGGTCAGCCCCCCCACCCCACTTTGTCCGATCCGTTCCAAAAAAACGCCAATATTTAGCAAATTAATTGCAAATAATTGCAAATCGGTTTTTAGAATTTGCAAATCAAAATTGGAATTTTGGCAAATTTTTTTGCAAATTTGGTCAGCCCCCCCACTTTGTCCGATCCGTTCCAAACAAACGCCTATATTTAGCAAATTATTTGCAAATAATTGCAAATCGGTTTTTAGAATTTGCAAATCAAAATTGGAATTTTGACGAATTTTTTTGCAAATTTGGTCAGCCCCCCCCCACTTTGTCCGATCCGTTCCAAAAAAACGCCAATATTTAGCAAATTAATTGCAAATAATTGCAAATCGGTTTTTAGAATTTGCAAATCAAAATTGGAATTTTGGCGAATTTTTTTGCAAATTTGGTCAGCCCCCCCACTTTGTCCGATCCGTTCCAAACAAACGCCTATATTTAGCAAATTATTTGCAAATAATTGCAAATCGGTTTTTAGAATTTGCAAATCAAAATTGGAATTTTGACGAATTTTTTTGCAAATTTGGTCAGCCCCCCCCCCACTTTGTCCGATCCGTTCCAAAAAAACGCCAATATTTAGCAAATTAATTGCAAATAATTGCAAATCGGTTTTTAGAATTTGCAAATCAAAATTGGAATTTTGACGAATTTTTTTGCAAATTTGGTCAGCCCCCCCCCCCCACTTTGTCCGATCCGTTCCAAAAAAACGCCAATATTTAGCAAATTAATTGCAAATAATTGCAAATCAGTTTTTAGAATCTGCAAATCAAAATTGGAATTTTGGCGAATTTTTTTGCAAATTTGGTCAGCCCCCCCACTTTGTCCGATCCGTTCCAAACAAACGCCAATATTTAGCAAATTAATTGCAAATAATTGCAAATCGGTTTTTAGAATTTGCAAATCAAAATTGGAAATTTGACGAATTTTTTTGCAAATTTGGTCAGCCCCCCCATCCCACTTTGTCCGATCCGTTCCAAAAAAACGCCAATATTTAGCAAATTAATTGCAAATAATTGCAAATCGGTTTTTAGAATTTGCAAATCAAAATTG